CAACATTACATTCCTGAGGATGACGTTGTAACATCGAAATATGTAGAGTCGTCAACTTTTTGAAGGCCATAGATAGGCCTAAATAAAATGTTTTTAATTGTGTACCAGTTTAACGTTGAATATTATTTCTGATTTTGACATCATACATTTTTCAGCTGGAAATAAAGGTGGATAAAGGCAATTAATTGAACAGGTGCTATCCAGTCATCCTTCCATACTTGTTAGATGTTCATTCATAAATATAAATCATGCAAAACTAAAGTGATAGTTGGAGTTTTTTTTTGCCCTGAAGAAATCAGAATGACATGACTGTATAAATGAGTATTTACACACATTTTTTCTCAGTAAAATGTGTTGACCATCTTGTAATTGTTTCTATATCTTTGAAAAATTTCAATAAATGTTTTGGATTCTTTTTATAAACATTACATTTGTTTAATGAACCCTCTTTTGCATAACTTTGTCTTAGAATTTTAGAATTTCATAGTATTTTCGTGAAAACATAATTAAAAAGAAACTTATCCAGTACGTTTTAACAAAACTTTGCAAATGAAAAATTACGTACAATTTGAACAGATTTTGTAAGCAAATTAACCTAACCTTTTCAGGAGTGGAGGAGTTTGACTGATGTACTATGATTTTTTTTCCTTCTCACAGTCGAAATACTTATCCATATTGTATAAACTTCACTAAAAGTTTGCTAAATAGCTTCTGGTTTCTGTTTTTAGAACTGTCATATAATTTCTGCCTGTTAATCAGAAAGTTTCATTTTACATATTTAATTAGTTTCAACCTGATTAATATTCATTAACACATTTCTTTTAAAACCTTTTAACCTTTTGGTGATTGAAGTAATCATCAATTCCTAATATTAATCAGTGAATGAGGCCCTCACCTTTCAAAATGGCATCATGGTTATCTTTGTCAGACTAGGCATTGTAATTTTTGCTAACAGTATTCTTGGTGAGCTCAATTTATATTTAATTAATATAGTTTTATTTCAATAAACACTGAGTTCTTTTATTTGTGTGTGTTATTTGAATACAATAAACTAAAAATATGATTCAAAAATATGGACTTAAGTCATCAGAATATTTTGCTGTAGCTAACTGTGCTTGAATAATGTTACTAAGCTTACTTGATGCCTTGTTGTAGAAGAACATTTCTGTATCTTTCAAACAAATATAATTTAACATAAAACTATTTTCTGAAATCAAAAGAATGTCTAAAAGAAACTAAAAAATTCCCTGATCTGTGATTTGATCCTAAGTGTTGTAAACTTTGCATTAGCATTGTTTGTTTGTACCTACAGGAGCCACAACTAGCCAGTATTTCAAGAAACCACAAATACCTGCTCAAACCACTTTATTTACTCTATATTTACACAGGTAGATTAGAATTTCTTGTATCCATTATTTTTTTTAACCATTGGCTCTTATTTTCGAAGTCGAGCTTCATTAGTAATTGTTCAGACAACATGCTTTGACATCATAAATGGGTGGCAATGAAAGGCTGTAGTAATAAAACTACAGACAGAAAAGAAAATCAGGTGAAAAACAAGACATGAGTAATTATACTTTCAAGGGATTATAGTTTCTTTGCGCATATAAATCTACTCTTTGAAATGGGCTGGAAAATGTTAAGAATTTATAAATGCATTATTTACAAGTGAGACTCCTCAAAGCCGTACAGAAATGAAAGTTGAAGGGCAGGAAATTCATGGTGGTAATTACCACCGTATTTTTTCAAAATGGCCGTGGTGCCCTCAGAAAATAAGAAAATCCATGCCCACGATGGCCACCCTTCAGTAGCTCTTTGGCCGTCGTGCCCTCATAATCTAAATTACAACCTACAGAAACTACCTTGTTACGAATAATATATCACATAAAATGCATGTAGTGGAGGGAGTGAAGCTTTTGCTTTGATCAGCAGTAAAATATTCGTGCAGTTTGTTGAGTCATACCATACCACAGGGTCTCAGTAGTAGCAAGCAATTCAAATTGGTGCTCAAACAGCAAACCTGCAGAGCTTACACAAAGATCCACAATGATAGCAGTACATGATGATAAAAGCCAGCATGTACATACACTGGTCATAGTGAAGTGCACAACAGCAAATACTCCTTGCATTAAATATGCCGAAAAAGGCAAGAGTTAAGAGAGAAAATAACAGGAAACATTTTTCTGTTGCAGCCAAGTGCCAGAAATTTGAACTTTTTTTCATTGATAAATATATAGATTACCTCCTGATTTTTACCCATGGCATAACAACTCATAGAATGGCTCAGAGTTTGTTTTTTTCAAGTACAAACTTTTATCTCGTAGCTTCATCTCTTGACTGATTTGAGATCTAATTAAAGTTTAGGACTCGGGAGGTCAAACCCTTTAAAGTTTGTCACATGTAAATACTCCTTGTTTTTCAAAACAAGAATTCACCTTTTTCTCAAGAAGCGAGTCCTTTCTAAAATTCCATACCTTATTTCATTAGTTCTCAGTATTGAAATTTGTCTACCACCTTCTGCCCCAAACACTGAGACTATTCATGCTCTTTTTATCTGTGGCATAGCAGCTCATAGAATGGCTCTGAGTTTGTTTGTTGTTGTTTTGTTTTTCAAGTACAAACTTTTATTTCATAGCTCTGCCATCTCTTGACCAACTTGAGATTTAATTAAATTTTTGGTCACACACTTTTGATTGATATATTAGGCTGGTAGAGATCCTGATAAGTAATAAAATCAAATTGGGTATACCTGTGCCCCATGCTTGGTATTGTTGGTGCACAAAAATATAGCTAATAAAAAAAAAGATCTCGAAGATTAATTTACTCTAATCCTGCCTAAAAGAGAATTTCCTCTTGTTTAGAAAATGGAGGAAAATAGGATATGTCAGTAATTTGGCTTGAAAAATTTTATGTGCAAACCCACCAAAGGTTTAGTCCTACTATATGTTACCTAATTAGAATTGGTGAGTTGCGTAATGCAATTGATGACGCATGATTTATAGGTTATGACCATGTAGTGTTGACCTAATTTACTGTTTAGCAGTACTAGCCTATGTTAGAAATTATACGAAAAAATACTAATAGTATTGTTTGTAAATAGAATGTTGACCTTAGATCATGGCAATGTATCTTTTTATCTGTCTGTTTGTCTTTCAGTCAAGATTTTCAAAGGGCTGCTATTTGGAGACCTTGAAACTGATTTTCATCAATCTTGGTCAAGTAGTCAGACATGTTGGGGTTGAAGTTTGTTGGTAGAAATTAGGCCTTTGATTTTGTCTGATCATTCTCAAACTTAGACAAAGTAATAAATGGATAGAGGTGCATAAAAGTTGTAAACAATTCCAAGGTCATTTGGGGTCAGGAGGGAGCAAAAGCTAGAAATCTTATAAAGCACTTGTTCTCTTTTATGTGTAAGTCTGATCTTTATCAAAGTTGGATAAATTAGTAAATGAATAGAGATGCCTCAAATTTGTCCATGATTCACAAGGTCACCGGAGGTCAAATTCTGAAAACCTTTAAAATGCTTCTTCTCCCAGGGATTTTCTTTGATCTTTCTCAAAGTTAGATAAATTAATAAGTAGAGAGAGAGGTAACAAAAATTTGTCATTTGAAGTCAGAAGGGGACAAACACTAGTAATGTTATTAAGGTCACAGGGCATCTTAGATCAGCATGATACCTCTTGTTTTAGTCTTAAAGCTGATGTACTGTTACTTCAGAAATCTCATTGGTTAAAGTCAATACTTACTTAACTGATAAACATAATCTGGAACGAGAGGCCAGCTTCCCAAGCCCCCAGTGAAAAATATTATTGCCATATTTACTAAACTAATTGGGAAACACATTTCTATTCCATTAACATTAATGTGTACTGTGGCTTTAGTGCCCTCCAGTGAATTTTGTTTTGGCCTTGGTGCCCTAGCTGTTGGCCTTGGTACCCTTGAAAATGAAAGAAAATTGAAAGCTAAATGGCCTTACCCTAAAAATGGATTTCCTGGCCTGTGCATTTCTTTGTGAATAACTATATATATACATGTCACATAATGACAAAGTGTATATTTTAAAATAGTTATTGTTAAAACTCTTTTCAAATTGAGTTAGAACTATTATTTTTGCTTAAATCTTGAAATATGATATATGCTGACGTGTACTTGACACCTGATAGGTATTCACCAATCATGAGATACAGCATTATGAGGCCCATTTTGTATTAGTACAATAGCAGTTGAAAACTGATATAATTTACTATTACGTAGGTAGAAGAATGATATATAGTTATTCAATTATATTCGTGTACATTGTTTTAAATGTTTAATGCAGATGATCTGCAGTTAATTAACATTCTTGTTCACAAACTTAGATCACAGAACCATAGATAATTCTTCTGTGTAATCATTCCTCTGTGGTGTAGGTCATACCTGGGTAGACTGAAATAGATATGTATTATTTTTATGTTCCAGTAGTCACAAGAGCTGTAACAGTGATAATCTAGAGATCAGCCAATATTGCAGTGTTCATTTTACTCACTTACAAACATACACTTAGTACCTTCATATTTTGGTATTTCATACACACATTTTGAAAATCACCGAGCCTGAATATCACATTTTTAATATATTTCTAAATATTTAAACTTCTATAATATTAGTGTAACATATATCTTGTTTGATTATTAATTTCATGATAACTTGAATATTTCTTTAGTGCCAGGTACAAGTATGGGAATTCTTACTGATACATCTTTTGCTTCCCTTGAGAATAAAGTGTCTGAGTTCACACTAAAAGGCATAGCTGATATGGGCTTTACAAATATGACAGAGATTCAAGCAAAAGCCATTCCTCATCTTTTAGAAGGAAGGTAATTAGTTTTTGTATTATAATTTTACCTTAGAGCATTTCTTATATTTATATTGGTTTTTTTAAAGTGTGCAACTAAACAAGTTATTATTGACAAGAGTAGGTGTAAATTACATACATCTGCCACCATGAGTTTTAATTATTTTACGAACTTGCATTTAACTCTACCAGTTAGTATTTTCCCATAATATTTCTAAAGTTGTAAACAGTAGTTTTTACTAATTACTGAAAGTTTGTGTACCTTGAAATATAAAATCTTTTATACATACACTAAATATCAAACTGTGATATAATATTTAATCATTAGAAACTGTCCAGAAAGTGGAATTGTGAAGTAATACCAAATCACTTGAAACTACCCTTATGAAACTTTAGTTTTAATATAATATTTAATCATTAGAAACTACCTTCAATATTCACTTGTGAAGTAATACCTAATCACTTGAAACTACCCTTATGAAACTTTAGTTTTAATATAATATTTAATCATTAGAAACTACCTTCAATATTCACTTGTGAAGTAAAACCTAATCACTTGAAACTACCCTTATGAAATCTAATCTCATAATGTTTGGATAAAGTTTTATTCATTTTAATATTATTAGAAAGTTTGCCATATAAATTTCTTGTAATGACCACTTATATTCTATCATGATTTTGTTGGACATGTTTACACGAAATAATAAAACTTTATGGTCGGAGCTACATATTCAGCATTGCTTGAAAACAATTAAAATACGGATGTATTTTTGTAAATGATTAGTTGTGGTGTTAGATGGTACAGTAAACAGTGTGGTCATTTTTAGAATTTTTTTTTATGAAATTTGGCTTACAATTTGAGAAGATAATTTGAGTTTCAGAATTACTTATGAAACAAATAATGTATATAGTGTTTGAGATGAAATGTATTCACAACAAATGTTATGAATATTGACTAACCACACTATACAGTATATTGTGATTAAACTGTGACTTTTTTAATTTAGAGACCTTGTAGGTGCTGCTAAGACAGGCAGTGGCAAGACTCTAGCATTTTTGATACCTGCTATTGAATTGATCTACAAGCTAAAATTCATGCCTCGTAATGGAACAGGGGTAATTGTTATATCACCTACAAGAGAATTGTCCATGCAGAGTTTTGGCGTTTTGAAAGAACTACTTAAACATCATTATCACACATATGGCCTAGTGATGGGAGGCACGAACAGGCAGTCAGAGGCTCAGAAACTTAGCAAAGGCGTCAACATTCTGATAGCTACCCCTGGTCGGTTACTGGACCACTTACAGGTATTATACACCTCTCAGAGCACTGTTTGTAAGTTATTGCCTCGGAAGCTATATTACATCTGTTTGGATACTGTAAATTTTTTACAGATACCATAAATCTGGTAGAACACTCTCGATAACATTCTACAAACACTGTACGTTTGATTGAATTTCCTTGGCTGGTTACTAAAATTTTCTTTGTAAGTTATTAGATCATCTTCAAGTACTGTAAGCCTACATTTGATGGAACTTCTTTGGATGGTCACTTGAATTTTATTTGCGAGATACTAAGCTATATAAAGGTACTAAATATGATACTTTCTATGTTTGTTACATGAATGTTTTTAAAGAGCTTTACATATAACCAAACTCTGTAGGAAGATTAGTGGGATATTTACAGGTACTATTCATCAAATTAACATTTTTTTGTTGGTTAATAAATCATGTGTAATGAACTATTATCCATATGTGTTCAATGAAAATATGTTTAATAAAAATAATTCAGCAGTTTTATAGTTTAACTTATTTTAAAGAAATATGAAGAGTATAAGTATATTAAGATCTTTAAGAAGTAACACTGTAAGAAAGATACAGGGTTAGTAAACATAAAAGGTGAATATCTTCAAGAGATAAGTAATATACTTTATTCATATAGGCTCTGTTTTGAAAAGTACAATCATTATTAAATCACAGTTTTTGTGTATCTCGATTTATTACATAGGGAATGTTGCAGAATGAAAGTGCATAAAAGTATTCTTTAATAAATAGTTTTATGTAGAGTATCCATATTGAGTTGACTGGTAAATGGGCAGCAACTACCTATTAGAGAAACACTTGTAGAAATATATTTTTGTCTGTACAAACTACTTGTGCAACTCAAGTGTAGAGGGTGACGTTTTAAAAGTCTTTTGTCCCCAGGTCAGTTTGTGCAATCTACTGCAGGTCTTATATAGTATCCAGGTGGATTGAGATGGGTCTCCTGATTGATTGTTTTTTCTGGTCCTGATTGGTGGGACAACTGAGTTTGGATTCAACCAATGGTAGCCATAAGCTACTGATTTATAGGCCCAAGTCTCTGTAAAGGTTTTATTGTGTTGATATAGAAATATTCCATTATTTTTCTTGTTTTCGAAAAATTTGTCTGACTTAGTTTTGTCCCAGTCTTTTTTGTGTGCAGTTGACATAGTATGTTCCACAATGGCTGAATTCTGTGTTTTCATTAGTCTTGTGCTGTCTTTGTGTTCTTTTATTCTTGTCCTGAGTTGTCTTCCCATTTCTCCAATGTATTTTTTGTTACAGGAACATGGAACTTCATAGGTTGTTTTAATGTTTCTTGTTAGAAGGTTTCTGTTTTGTTTTACTCATTGTTTTATAAGATTTTCAGCCGCCATCTATGTTGAACTTCTACATTATACAATATAAGTTTTTCACTTAAGTTTTGCATGTAGGGGAGGAAAACAGTAGTAGTAGTGTTCTCCTTATCTTTTCTTTCTGTTGTGGTCTTTTTTTCTTTTTAGGGAATTATTGATGAAGGTAAAAGTTTAGCCATCCTGTTTAAAACACTTTATGAAGTTTTAGCATTCTGTTTTGATGGATATTTTATTGTAGATGTTTTCAGCTCTGTTGTTCAGGCATTGGATTATACCACATGTTACCAAAGTTGGATGATAGGACTGGAAGTGTAGGTATCTCTCTGTGTGGGTAGGTTTTTTGTATACACTTATAATGATTTTTCCTTTCTGTCTGCTGATGAGTATGTCAAGAAACAGTAGGCTGTTTTGTTTCTCTGTTTCTATAGCAAAGTTGATTCTTAGCTTATAGAAGTAAAAAAATAGTTTCACATTGTTCTCTTTTAGGTCTTTTTTTTTTCAGTTCTTCATGTGTTTCAATTGAAAATTCTACACTGTATTAGTTGTAATAGTAGCTGTTCCGTAGTACTTGTTTTTGGTAATTAAAGTGTTGCCCTTCGATGGCTCAGCAGTAAATTTAGGACTTATTTATAACAATAAAACTTAGGGTTCCATCTAGGCAGTGGGTACAGCACAAATACACCATTGTGCTACTTTGCATTTAAAAAACAAATAATTAAAGTGTTAATTTTATGTTTGTCATTCTTGATTTTACTTTTTTGACAGAACACACCCAAGTTCTTGTATAAAAATCTTCAGTGTCTTATCATTGATGAAGCAGACAGAATCCTTGACATTGGATTTGAAGAAGAATTGAAACAAATCATTAAAATTTTACCGAGTAAGTTTTATTTTCTTCTTCAATGTGGTGTAAATCTTTAGGGTTTTTAAATTTACTGTAGTTCCCTGTACAGAAATTGTTTATTAAAGGATAATTGGTTAGCACGTGAGACTGATAACAAGTTGTGAGTAACTCAGTATGGGTATCTAGTAAGAATAGTAAAATAACATTTTAACCACACTTGGTCTGTAAGCTGCTGAGCTACAACATAAACTCATACTTAAAACACCATTCACATGAGTTGTTTAGGAGACATCAGGTCTTTTGGTGTATAACAATCAAGCTGGCAAAGCATGATTCTTTAGACTGATAGGTATATGATGTGATGCTTCACCAGTTTGGTTACCATACATCATGAATGAATTTAAATAAGTAAATAATTTAATTCTTTTAGTATTAGTGTAGTTCTTTCATTATTCAGATCCACCTGAAGGTTTAAACATATCTTTTTCATTACTAATTAGATCATTAGAAATTTTACTTTAATCACATGACTGACTTTAATAAAAATGAGCTCCTCCCAGTGGCTCAGTGATAAGCTTGATGGCTTGTAATGTTAAAAGGGGAGTTTGATTCCTGTGATGAACACAGTGAAAGTAGTTTATTTTGCTACTTTAGACTTAACAACAGAAACAAAATCACCAGAAATGAACTTAATTAGAAACGATATTTAATTTTTTGGTATATTTCTCTGTTTTTATTTAGTTTGCAACTACGATAATGTTTTTTCTAATCAAGGCAAAGCATTTTATAGTCAATGAAAAAATATTGTAATTTGCATTGTGATGAGAATAATAGTACTTGTATTAAGTTTGAATGTGAAGCTGGATGTTTTGTAATGAAATGATAATATTTTAACTGTTTTAGTGAGCTTCTATATTTTTCTGGTTCAAATTAGAATGTCGTGAAGTTTATTTATTAATAATTTCTGACCAGAGTAAACTACCTACAGAGAACTAACAGGTAACTTAGTAAATAATGTAGCTAATTTAATATACTAGTCTGTTTAGGAGTACGTAATGTAGCTAATTTTTAATTATTAGATTAGAGTTCATTGATTTATGTCCTCACTATTATTGGTATACTTTTGTGTGTAATCCCAATAACATCTCATAAGATAAAATCATAGATGATATTCAACGTTAAACTGGTACACAGTTAAAAACATTTTATTTAGGCCTATCTATGGCCTTCAAAAAGTTGATGACTCTACATGTTTCAACGTTACAACGTCATCCTCATCGTTAGAAATAATAAAACAAAAAATCATGTAGTATTAAATAGAGATGAAGGCTTGGCGAATATTTCTGTAAGAATGTGGATTGATCTCCTTTGAATGGTTTAACATGAATGTATGAAAAATAACATACAGGTCAATGACCTACTAACAAGTTATAAATAATTTAGCAATTGTCTTGTAATTCACTCCTGAGGATGACGTTTTAACGTCAAAATATGTAGAGTCGTCAACTTTTTGAAGGCCATAGATAGGCCTAAATAAAATGTTTTTAATTGTGTACCAGTTTTAACGTTGAATATTATTTATGATTTTAACTTTATACACAAGTGCCAAAATACTATAATTATCTCATAAGATACTTCTAGGCTACAGACATTGACCTTAACTATCAAATTCAGCACTGCTATTAGCAACAACATTATTCTCTTCTAAAATTAACTGTAACTATTATTGTAATTATTTCATGTATGAAACTGTAATATATATATAAATCTCCTGTCATGTTTTCAAATATTTTTGAATAGCAAAACTCATTATAATTACATGTAATATTTTTTTATTTTAAATATTTTTCAAGTCTTGAAAAATGCCCGATTTGGGTGGAAACTGGTGTATCTAATGACTAGATCTACAAAATCTACAGTTTTCCACAGCTGATAACGACCCTACAGTAAAACAGTATTAAAATTTACAATATAATTTACAGTATAAATGCCAAAATCCTGAAAAACAAGTAGAAGCCAAGAAGCCTAACGTTTGTATTAATCATCTAGAAATTGAAAGGAATGTGGGGAAAAAAAACATCTGCAATTTATGTGATTTCCATTTTATTAATACCTTCAATGAGCAACCATTTGGACACAATTATTTCTGAATATGCTGCTGGCTAAACTTACACTGCAAAGGTTAGATGGTGTGCAGTGTAAGTTTAGCCAGTGGGTCCACCAATCAGAAGAGGTAAAGCATAGATCTTCCTATTCCTGTTGCCATTTTGCCTGGGTATGCCATGCATCACAATTACAATAACTCTCTAAACTGAAAGTCTTGTAATATAAATGACTGAAATGCATGTATAACTAGTGTATTTATACTCAACAGGTAGAATCTGCAATCTTCCTTCAAAAATGTGTACTAAGAATTTTTTCATACACCTTCTAAGTTTTACTGGCTAAACTGCAACATCAGCTAATAGGTTGTCAACTATTAGGTTGTTATATATCAAAAAAAAAAATTTTTAAATGAAATAGTCTCCATTCTTATCGATGACGCTTTTCCATCTTACAATCAGGTTGTTAATTCCCTGATTAAAGAAATCCCTTGGCTTTGAAGCACAAAACATGTTAATGTCCTCTTTAACATCTTCCACACTTGCATACATTTTTCCATAAAGATGATGTTGCAGTGAATGCAAAAGATGGTAATCTGATGGTGCCATATCTGGAGAATATGGTAGGTGGGGGAGAACTTTCCAACACAGTTCCATAATCTTGTGTTGCATCAAATGTGCCATATGTGGACGTGCATTGTCGTTGAGAAGAAGAACACCTTTCTGATTGATGAGTGAAGGGCATTTCTGATGAAGGGCTTTGATTTAAACGTTCCAATTGCTGACTATAGATCTCTGCATTGACAGTTTGCTGTGGATTGAGGAGTTCGAAATGAATTACTCCTTTGATGTCCCACTAAATGCAAAGCATCACTTCCTGCAGATGAAGTCCAGGTTTGGGAGTCAGAAGTGGTTTTTGTCTAGGACTAAGCCATTGTTTTTGGTGCTTAATATTCGCATAGAGAATCCATTTTTCATCACCAGTGACACTTCTGTCCAAAAATGGTTCACGCACTTCACTCACCAGAAGAGATGAAGCAACGTTCACACGTTGGAAACAATGATCATCAAAGAGTTCGTGAGGCACCCAAACACCTTCATCAAGGAGTTTTCCCACATTTCTTAGATGTTTACATATTGTTTCATGAGAGACATGCAATTTCAGGGACATTTCACGAGTGTGTTTCCTTGAGTTAGTCTCAACAAGTGTTTTCAGAGCATCAATATCAATTCCAACATGTTGG